TATCCTTTCAAGGTCGGTGAAGAATTGTGGTGGGATTTTAATGGGGATTGCATTGAACCTGTAGATTGCTTTTGGCAAGATTGCCATTTTTACTATGTTTATCCTACCTAACCAAGAGCATTGGAGATCTTTCCATTTTCTGGTTATCTTCTTTAATTTCTTTCTTAGAGGCACAAAGTTCTTATTATATAGGTCTTTTACTTGTTTGGTAAGCGTTACACCAAGATACTTTATGTTGCTTGTGGCTATTGTAAAAGGTGATATTTCTATGATTCCTTTCTCTACCTCTTTGTTGTCTGAAAAAAGTAGGGCTACTGATTTTTTTGAGTTTATCCTGTATCCTGCTAGTTTGCTGAAGGTGTTTATCAGCTGTAGGAGTTCCCTGGTAGAGTTTATTGGGTCACTTATGTAAACTATCATATCATCTGCAAATAGAGACAGTTTGACTTCTTCCTTTCCAATTTGGATGCCCTTGGTCTCCTTTAGTTGTCTTATAGCATTAGCTAGAACTTCCAGTGCGATATTGAAGAGATATGGAGAGGACAGCCTTGTCTTGTTCCTGTTTTTAGAGGAATTGGCTTAAGTTTCTCTCCATTCAGTTTGATGTTGGCTGTTGGTTTGCTGTATATTGCTCTTATTGTGTTTACGTATGTTCCTGTTATCCCTGATCTCTCCAAGACCTTTATCATGAAAGGGTGTTGAAGTTTGTCGAAGGCTTTTTCCGCATCTAGGAAGATAATCATATGGTTTTCCTTTTTCAGTGTGTTTATATGGTGGATCACGTTGATAGATTTTCGTATGTTAAACCATCCCTGCATTCCAGGGATGAAGTCATGGTGGATGATTTCTTTGATGTATTCTTGAATTCGGTTTGCCAGTATTTTATTGAGTATTTTTGCATAGATGTTGATCAGGGATATTGGTCTGTAGTTTTCTTTCTTAGTTGTGTCTTTGTGAGGCTTGGGTATCAAGGTTATTGTGGCCTCATCAAAAGAGATTGGCAATGAACCTTCTGTTTCTATCTTGTGGAACAGTTTGAGGAGTAGTGGTATTAGTTCTTCCTTGAATGTCTGGTAGAATTCTGCACTGAATCCATCTGGCCCTGGACCAGATGTTTGGAAGGCTTTCGATGACTGCTTCTATTTCATTGTGGGTTATAGGTTTATTTAAGTTGTTTGTCTGTTCTTGATTTAATTTTGGTAAGTGATAGTTATCCAGAAATTTGTCCATTTCCTTTGAATTTTCAATTTTTGTGGAATACAGATTTTCAAAGTATGACCTGAAAATTGTCTGGATTTCCTCTGTGTCCGTTGTTATGTTCCCCTTTTCGTTTCTGATTTTGTTAATTTGCATGTTCTCTCTCTGCTTTTTGGTTAGTTTGGATAAAGGTTTATCTATCTTGTTGATTTTCTCAAGAAAAAAAAAAAAGTCTAGCGCTCCCAGCAAATGTTTTTATCAAAGAGGAAGCCCACAGGCTTCCAGGAATACGCCACACAATCACACAATCAACATTTTGTCCTGCACAGAATGGTGGAGCCTGCTTGGGAAAATCCCAGGCATCTTGCCAGATAGTTTAGCTGAAGTGTTAGCAGGGAGGGGCATACTGAGTACTGAAGCTTTGTTCCTGCACCAGCCAGTCATGAGCAGAGTCCCTCCCATTCTCCTCCATGCTCACATTAGTAAGGTTAGCTGTAGGTTTCTTCTTCACCTACTACCAGCCAGCCTTGAGCAGGGAATATTCAGCAGCCATACTAAGCAATGATCAATCTTGCCATCAAAAATCTCTACAGACAAATAAGAAAGACATAGAAACCCACATTCTTGGGACCTAGACAGCTACACTCCCCACTTACTCTGTAACACATCTAAACCTGCACAGAATTAGATGAGTTTTCATTTAAAGAAATACATATGTAGGTGGTTAATGAATGGTACTGGGTTTTCATTGTTGTATCTCTCATTATTACTTTGAACTTTGAAAATTTCCCAAGTTCAAAAGGTTGTTTTTGAGAGGATGACAAACAATAAACAGCATTCCCAGGTTACATAAATTTGCATGTATGTATGTGAACATGGAACACTCTTATTTTAGCACTTTCTGTTGTACATGTACTGAAGTATCAGCAAAATTCCAGACTGAACCTGCCAGCAGAATAGACCAGGCCATGAGAGGAGGTGGGGAGAGCAAGAGAGGAAAAGGAAAGGAAACAGGAGAGAGGGCAAAGAAATGGAGAGAGGTCAAGGAGCGGAGCTAAGAGCAGAACTGGGAGAGCACATAGCCAAAATGACTGAGCTATATAGGAAAGAGAAGGGGACCAGTGAAGCGCAGGGGATGGAGAGGTATATGCTGGCCAGGATGACTCTGTAACAAGCACTCAAATGGGTAGGGACTGAGGGAGCCTAGAACCCAGCACAGACCTTGATATGCTAATAGGCACCACAGCCATATGTTAATGGAAGAACCACAGGTCTCTAAGGAATGCTGGCTTTTGTCTAAATGCCAGACTTTGGGAAATGGGATTTCTTAGGACCTAACACCCTGATAGACAAAAATAGCAGCTTCTGGTAGCAGCAACCGAGGCTATCTCCAAGAAGGGCAGCAAAGGGACTCCATACACACACACCTTATTTTGCACAGTGGTAACACTAACCACTAGGCAAAGATGACTAGTCCACCACCCATGCCCCACCCAAACAGTGGACACTGTTGGGTTGACTGCCACACTCTGACTTGCCAGGATAGGTCAGTTCTCCCAAGTTCATCCTATACAAGAAAATCTCTCAGACCTTCTGAGTCTGGAGGCCAAAGGCTAATGCAGCCCTGTGTGGCAGCCAAAGACTGAAGACCTCTACCCCAAACAAAGCCATTAAGATCGTAATGGGGATTGTAGACTGGCTGTCCAGATAGCAAGTAAGTCTCTGTCATTTTAATTGTTACAGAAGTCATTTGGTTTATACCTCCTACTCAGATTTATCCTTCTCAAATCTCGTGGTGGTACTGATGGTTTGCCCTGCTTTAACAGTTTAACAACATCAAGAAGACTTGAGCCAGATTCCCCCACAAAGGCTGCAGCTGCCAGGTCAGTCCATTTCATAGGTAAAAATCAGGCCTTGCTTTTTCTACACCTACAAGGTCTCCTGCTGAGAAAGGTAAACTCACAGACAGGTTTACCTTGCTGGCAGGCTTCATGCTGAGCAAGGTAAACTCACAAAACAGGCTTCAATGTAAAGACAAACTCAAGCTACCAAGCTGCTGTTACTTAAATATTTCCATTCATTTAAAAGAACTTGCTTTTCAATGACTGCTCTTAGTAAACACACACCTATGTCTCATAATAAATGATTGGATATTTCCAGAAGGAAGAAAAGAAAAAGTGTAAAGTTTATGCAAATTGTAAAGGTCTGAGGAAGTGACTTAAGGTATGTGAAAAAAAAAATGAGACTTAAATATGATACATATGATGTTATGACTTCAAAAGTTCAAAGGTTTAACACATTAATCATTGGAATTCCAGTAAGCTATTAATCTAGCCTTGGAGGGAAAACCCTGGCTACTAAAGCATTTTTAAAAGTCATTATAGTTCACAGGCTCAAAATATATAAATTTTCCTTGGTATCATAGGAAGTCAGCAGAATATGGTCCATTTCCCACAAAGCAGTGCCCTACTAATGGTACTTAGGCCTAGAGACTTCAGAATGCCACCTACAACCATTTTAAATAAACTCCCAGCTGTTTTTCCCACTCAGTGATGGCCTTCTTTGAATGAATTCCTGCTTGCTTCCCAAGGAAAACTCTCTGCAAAATCGATGGCACTAATGTGGGCTCTAAGCCACATCTAAAGGGAAAGTTCTGGAGACTGGTGTGTTGCATTAAGACCATAGAGATGAGCAAGGGAGAGGGATCCAATGGTAAATGTGCTTGACACATAAACCTGAGAACCCAAGTTAGAGCCAGAAACTCACAAGAGGAGCCTGTACGTATGTATGTACTCCATGTGTGTGCCTGGTGCCCAGAACCAGAGAGGGCATCAGATAGCCTGGTGCTGCAATTAGAAACAGTTGTGTCTGGGTTCTGGGAACAAAATCCTGTTCTCTATCATAATAGCCATTTCTCTTAACTGCTGATGCATCCTTCTAGTTCCCTTTTAAAATAGTTTCAACTTAATTTTTTGTCTTCTCAAAATCTTCCCGAGGAGAAGGTGAGGGTACTTTTTACAGGAACAAATAAAATGTTCCAAGCAGAAAATGTCCTTGGAAAATTCCCTTTCTCTGTCTTCCTCACGGCTCCCTTGAGGATTATGGAAAACCTTTATAGGAGAAACAGATTTTGGCTCTAGTCCCCAGTGATGTGTGGGTGCTCATGTTAGAGAAGGAAACCCGTAATCTACAAAAGGAAATACCGCAGTAGACTAGACACAAAGACATTTCCAAAACTATCAACGAACTATCAACAAACGGAATTCATCTTGAAAGAAAGACGCTAACAATTAGATTGTTGCTATCACTTCAAGAATCTCAGAGTGAGCTAGAGAAATCACTCAGAATTTAAACGTACTTGCTGGTTTAGTAGAGCCCCAGAATTGGGTTTGGAGTTCCCATGCCAGGCAGCTCACAACCTACTGTAACTCTGGTTCCAAAGAAGTCAGTACCCTCTTCTGGCCTCCACAGGCACTTGTGTGTGAGGGGCACACACATATACATAAAGAAAACAGGCATACACACATATACATAAAGAAAAACAAAATAATTGCAGAGACCACAGGAAGATTCTCATGCTTCCAATTTATTTGACAGAAAGGACATTGTCCCATGGCTTTGGTGCCAGCTTCTCCCACAAATGGTTCTTTGGTGGCAATGTGAGGTGGCTTCTGTCATATCACATAAAAGAAAAAAAAACAAGGATTTTTTCCCCCCTAGGAATTGCCACTAATGGAACTCATGGTCTTTGTTCCATAACAGAGTATAGTACTCTAGATTTTTTTTTTTTTTAAGAGGAAAGAGATTTGTTAGAAGGGCTATTGAGTTGACGAAGAAGTGGTTTCCATCAGAAAGAGTGAAAAAGGGGCATATCCTGAGAATAGGACCATAAAGCTGGAGGATAACATCCTGTTCTCCACTTTCACATAAGGACCAATTCACCCATCCTGGGGGTAAGTTTCCACCTCAGTGATCACACTCTCCCACTTTACAGCTGTGTTCTGACCATTGGGAATAACTGTCATCTCTCTAGGGGGAACGGTGACCTCTTCAAGGACCACTGCCTTCTTCCTGGAGGTTCCCTTCTCACTGGGAGTCATAGTCTGAAGATAGACAAGGGTTGTATCCACCCCTGCAGGTCTCACAGACTGATTATCCACAGTGGCTGTGGTCTGTCCCCCAGGGGTCACAGACTGATGACCCACTGTAGCCATGGTCTCTTCCCCAGGGATCACAGACTGATTGCCCACTGTGGTCATGGTCTCCCTCCCAGCTGTCTGTGTCTGGACTGTCACTGTCGTCCCAGCCATGGTCTCAGACAAAAGGTCCAGTGAGGTCGTAGCTTTTGCCCCAGGAGCCATAGTGTTTCTTTCTATAGCTACAGCATGTGTTGCAGGAGATGTTGTTCCCCCAGGGGTCACAAATCCACCATTAGGGATTGTAGTCACCTTTTCATACTTTCTGTGGACCTCAGTGGCCATAGCCTCTCCTCCTGGAGGCAAAATCTTTACAGTATCTGTGGTCAACTCCTCTGTCACAGGCAGACTGTCAGAGCCAGGTCTTGAGGAATTCACAGGCAATGTAAACCAAAATTGTGGCAAAGGGGTTGAGTTGAACTCTGGAGAAAAACCATCAGAAAAGTTAGTAAGATTTCTACCTCTTCTTTCCTTTCTTATTAATTTCCAACAACTCAAAAGCCACTCCAAAGCTGAAAAATCTGATCCAAAAACCCATTATTGAAAGATTTCATGATTTACTCACAGGAGGAGGAGGGGGATAAAAACCCAACCACACTAAAGCTCAGTAACTTACCCTAAGGTGCTAGCATAGACCCAAACTGTGGGCCATCTGCGGATGGACTATGTCTAGGCCCTCACTTTAACATCCCTGGGTACCTCTAGCCAGACCTATGTTCAAGGCTTACTTTTTTGTTGACAATGCAAGGAGAAGTTGTCTGTATGCCACATTGGAAGAGGTGTCAGAAACAAAGCTGAGGCCTGGAGACTCTACACTGCAAGTGGTAAACCATTAGATTAGAGTCTAGGCAAGTGCTTGGCCTGGCTGAGCTCCAGTCCTACATCCTACATCTCTAAGGAAATTTGACTCTTACATACATTTCCTAACTGCAGCCACTAATATCAAAAGAGGTGTGTGTGTGTGTGTGTGTGTGTGTGTGTGTGTGTGTGTGTGTGTGTACATTTTCTAGTTCCTTGCCCAAGAAATGAGAAGGAAAAAAAAAAGAGATGAATGTGAACTATGAAACAGTATTCTGTTTATCTAATATCTCATTTAGTTCTTCATAATGGTCTATGTTTAGGACTACTTCATTTTCAGATGAGGCAAAAGAAGCTCAAGGAGGTCAAATCTCATTGACATTAAAGTTTGCTCCCTTCCTTCAGTGTCAACTCAAAGAAGTTACACCCAGCAGAATGGACTCACCTGTGCGGTTCTGCCACTTACAACCCTAGCTTCTAGGTCCTAGTTACTTACCTGCCTGCACCAAGAGCTCATTCAATATATGGACAAGGGGGAAAGGGCCGTTGCCACAGAAAGTGCCCCTGACATCATCCATATCCAGTGTCCACACCATGGCCCCCCCAAAATGTTCTTTTTTCACAAACATTGCCTGTAAAAGTAAAAGTCAGTTACTAACCACCCTCCAGTCTGGGTACAGGGGGCAAACAACAGAAGATGAGCAAACCTGCAGAAGGCAATGAAAGAGGGTATTCACGGTAATGATTGCCTAGGGATGGGGAGGAGGGGAGTTAGTGTTTATAGGTACAGAGTTCGAATTTGGGAAGATAGAGGAGTTGTAAAAGTGAATGGTATGATAGTCAAACAACATCTGAGAACATTTAATGTCACTGACTTGTGGGCTGAAAAATAACTAAAATATAGTTGGAAAGATGGCTCAGAGGTTAAGAACACTGCTTATTCTTCCAGAGGTCCTGAGTTCAATTCCCAGCAACCACAAAGTGGCTCACAACCATCTGTAATGAGAACCGATGCCCTCTTTTGTCATGCAGACACACATGGAGGCAGAATATTGTGTACATAATATGTAAATAAATAATCTTTTTTTAAAAAGTGACTAAAATACAGGGAAAGTACGATGGTTCATGCTTGGAATCTCAGCACTCAGCAGCAGGAAAATCAGAAGTTCAAAGCCAGTCTTGATTACATAGTGAGTTTGAGTTAAACCTTGGCTACATGAAACCCTGTCTCAATACCCCTTGGTCCATTAAAAGAAAAGATAAAATGGTTAACCCTATGTTTTATGTTATGTAGGAATACTCCTTAACTTTAGTAGGCACATAGTTAATGTCTCCTAATGTTAGCTACTCTTTCATATCCCTCAGCCTGCCACCACCATCCCCATCAAACTGAACTATGAGATCATTTTATCTTTTAAAATTATTTCCACAAACTTTATGACAGTGGTGTTAAAAAGTAACCATAAACAGATACTGTGTGCCCTTTTCAACAGATGAGAAGATAAAGGCTGTCTTCCATGACTTTTAAAGTTCAGCTATAACTAAACGGCAGAGTTTGAACTCTAATTCCAGACTTGTTATTTTGCTGGTGCTCCTACTCTCTCTGGTAGAAAATAAAACAAACAAAACCCCCACAGATTCGATTCTATTTAAATATTTGTGTGACATTGCTCAGACATTTTGCTCTTTGGTGGGGTTTATTTTCCTGAAATGTAAAATACAAAAAAAAAAAAAAAAAAAAAAAAAAAAAAAGGATGGGGAGTAACTATTAATCTGATGATCTAAGGGTTCTAGAAGCTTATCTTACTTATAGGCTTGTAAGTTACTTTGGATCAGAGAACAAACTACTCATATTAAAACAAGAAGCTAGAAAAGCACCTTGAGTTGGTTCCCCTGCCTCTGTGGGTTTGCCACTTTAAATACATAGCATAATAAGTAGAATCATAGAATTCATCATTTTTGTGTGATTATTCTGCTTAACATAGTATCTTTAAAAACTCATTCATATTGTAGTGTGTGGTCATTTGGGGGGGCCTAAAATATTAGAAATGTTATTTATTTGCCTTCGATGAAATACCCAAAGAAGGTAAGAGCCATATAGAATTTCTAAGATTCCATAGCTAATGAGAAGTAGAGGCTAGAATCCAATGTAAATTATAATCATAAATGTCCTCCTTCATTGCCTAGTGTGAGGAGCTGGAGAGATAGCTCAACTATTAAGACCACTTACACTGCTCTTACAGAAGACATGGGTTTGGTTCCTAGCACTTACATGGAGACTCATAACCATACATAATTCCAATTTCAGGGGAAACAACGCCCTCTCTTAACCTGCAAGAGCACTAATCATTCTAGTGGTGCACATATATCCATGCAAGAAATGCAAGAAAAACATTCATATGCATAAAATAAGTCACTCTAAAATATTTAAGGCACTATGACAAACTGATTCTGTCCTGCAGGTGCATGAGGTTTGCACCACAGAACAGACTGGACATTGTGAACCTTGGAGCATAGACAATGGATACCTCTCTCCATGAAAAGAAAGCCATGCCTCCACTGAATGAACAGTCCATTCTGTTTATGTTTAGACACCAAGGGTGGTGATGGTAGAGGGAAGGTAATGGTCTTTAAACAGAGGCAAGTGGCTCTGGGAGCATGTGGGAAGATGGCTTTCCATTTTTCATAACTTGCCTGCTTTCTTGGCTAACTGGCCTGCCCTGTGCAGGAGCACTAAAATTGTTCAAATAGTTATGTCCAAATAATTACCTCCAAGGTTTCTTTCTGCTCTGATATTCTCACAAAATACCCCTCAACATCATTCCCTTGACAGCCTCATGCCCTTTATCTAGATCTAGCTCAGCAAGGCACAGTAATGACCATAATTCAAGTTCACTCTCTGCTACCAATCCCAGGGACTCAAACAACACATGGAGGGGCAGATGAGCTTCTATCTGATATTCTGAGGCTCACGTACTTAAGTTCATCTGATTGGCTGTTTCTATTGAGTTATCTTTTCTGTCTTCCATTCCTAAACTAGAGTAAGGTCCTAATAGTTGGAAGTCTTGCTTTCTACTTGAGTTATGCACAGAAGAAATCACTAGTATCCCACTATCTCTAGTGCCTTTTATCCCAAAGTGTTCCCCCAAAGAACAGCCAACACCTTCCACTTCTACCACCTACAACAGAACTATAAATTTTCTCTACTCTTAAGCTTCAGTATCCAGCAGTTGTAAATACTCACAATCCACCTCTTATCCAAGGTTCAGATCCTCATTATCTTATTCCTGGGTCTTTCCTTGTCCCTTGGAGTTTCCAAAATTACAAATATTTATAGCAATGTCACAAGTGAAGACACACTAAAATTAGACTTTTTGAAATATCTATGGAATATAGGCTCAACCAAGAATTTCTATTTATTAAGTTTTTCAGAATTTTCAAAGCAAAGGAAAGTTTGGGAGCAACCGTACCATGAAGCTTCTGCTTGAATTCATTATAAAAGTCTACCAGACTCAGAGCTGAGGAGAGGGTTAAAAAAGACCAAACAAACAAACAAACAAAAACAGCCCTGCTGTGTAAGCTTGAGAGCCTGAGTTCAATCCCCAGAACACATGTTTAAAAAGTCAAGAATAGCAGTGTATGCCTGTAATCCCAAAGCTGGGGAGGTGGAGACAGGAAGATCCCAGGGTTTGCTAACCAACCAGGCTAGCTGACTCCAGGTTCACAAGTAAGTAAGGTGAGAAGAAATTAAGAAAGATGCCTGACATCTCTCTGGTAAAACCATGTGGAAACACTGACTGGTAGAAATGAGTTAATAATTATGACAGAGCTAGCCAGTAAGAAGCTCTAGCCACTGGCCAACAGCTTTATAACTAACAGAGTCTCTGTGTGTTATTTTGGGGCTGATATGGGACCAGGCTGGTGGGAAAGTGCTTGTAACAACTCTCTCTTCCACATGTACACACACACACACACACACACACACACACACACACACACACACACCACTATGCCTGTCAGACTCAACTTCATTTATGTCACTTACATTGGAGAAAGGGATGTCAATTTGGCTCCAGGTATCCAAACTGCAAGTCATATACCAACTCAGATACTCACCTTGAAGAATTAAACTCTCACCAGTACCTTAGGCCCTCTGTAGAAATACCCTGCCCACCCAAATTTTCCTTTAAACTTGTGACAAGATTCTATTCCAGTAGCCTCTCTCAAAAGTCATCATCTCCTCCTATTCCCACTGACCTCAGAAAACCTAGTACTTTCCTCATCCCTGCCCCCAATCAGTAATATTCACGGATGCCTAGTGTAACATAAGCATGTGTACATGAGCATAGACGCACAGTATAAAGCAGAGTTCCATTAAAGAGAATGAGAATCTGAATGCTGGGAGAGGAAAGAACAAGTCTCACCTTGTAACTGAAGCTGTTGGTATCATCGTAGCCAACCCACTCCTTCCCCATGTAGGCATATGGGACATATTGATGATCAATCCAGTGCTTTTCTGCTCTCTGAAGAAAGGAACAAACCTGCCAAGAGGACACAGGTAAGTTCCATGAAATGCCTTGAAGAGAAGTAGCAAGAGACTCGGTTGCTTCTTGTCTCAGGAGAAAGAAAGTGGGTGCCCATAAAGATGGCTGCACTCCATCTGGGCACAAGGACAGAGAGTTCAAAGCTGTCAGCAAGTCACAAGACCAAAGGTCAAAGGTGTGGCTACAGAAGGATGTTTGACTGTCTTAGTCTAAATAACAACAAACCTGAATCTGAGGTGTAGCTAATCCTGACTCTCAAGGCTAGGGAAGGAGAAGTGTAGAATCTGAGGTGTGGCTACTCCTGACCTCAAAGCTAGGGAACAAGAATTTGGAGCTAAGGAGTGGTCACTGAACCTTTAGAATAAGTGAGGAAGAAAAGTCTGTTTGCTCCATATACAAGATACTGTGTTCCCCTCTTGGATTAAGGTATATAAAACTGGTGAAAAAGAAACTTGTGGCATTTCAGTATTGACAGATCTGCTCTCCTGACTTCATCCACACACCCCACTCAGGTATGAATGTCTTTCCCTCACCCACACTCCCCCACTCAGGTACGGCCCCGGAGCTGCTCAGCTGCTTCTGATTGCAACCCCACAAAGACAGCTCCTGACAAAAGAATACAAGAAAACCTCTCACTACAGCCTGAGGTGACACATCAAAGAGAGAGGGAGAAACTGTTCACAGAGGGCTTCCTCTACATACTATGTCCCTTCTGTTACAGGGGGCCCTTCTCCTAGAGTCCATGGTATTACAGTTAAATAAGGATCAGGATAAACAAATAGGCTGAACAGATGTTTGTTCAGGGAGAAATAACTTACAACCTAGACAGATGAACATCAGCAAGTTCCACCGGATGCTCTATTCTCTGCCAGCAAGAGAGAATTCCCCGGCTCCTCCTCAGACCTCGTTCACTGGTCACTTCCAGAATTAGGTAAATAACACCAGTGCCACAACACTAAGCTTTTTTTGTTGTCTTCATAAACAAGTATCTCTGTTCATTAGAGCTCAGGACCAGCTGCCTCACTAGCACCTGAAATCCTAGTACCTCTAAAGGTCTCGAAGGTACAGTTAACTAGGTTATCACTACCCACCATGATCTTGACTGCCCACAGAAACCCCAACATCATGCTAGAAACTGATACAGGGACACATAGGTGTCCAAGTTGTACTGCAGAAGTTAACTGAAAGACCCGCAGAGCGTGGACCTTCACGCTCCCACTCAGGAAAGGCAACACCCCAAATCACTCACAAGAAGCTGTCTTGATGTAAAAGCATGAGGTCTTTTATATTCCAAGTGCACTGGGGTCCACAGTCATATGCCATGCAGGAGTAGAGGACTGAGGACCCTGAGTACAGAATTGAGACAGCTTTTATAGGGTTACAACAAAGCCCACACATCATAAACCAATCATCTCATAGCTTCCAGAGCCCACGCAGTGCGGAACAATCAATTTAAACCATCCAAGCCCGCGCTTTATAGACCAATCAGTTTTCTATAGCCCTGGAGGTCTGCATTTGTGCAGGTTCCTAGGTGGGGTGACAAATGGCAGTTAGGTTAGGTCACTGGGGCGGGGGTTTCACAAGCAGTTTACAAAGTCAGGTAAGTGGCAAGGAGTATGAGCTTTCACCTATTTACTGGCTTTGGGCAGGGTCTGGAATTTAAGGTATTTAGTATTTTTACACTTCTAGTTTCCTGGGGTCAGTGGAGAGTTAGGCTGCATTTTTCCATCCTTACATAACATCTAAGTCATTCTTTGTGAGGTTGTTGCTGTTGTAGTATTATTGTTGGGTTTTTTTTTTTTGTTTGTTTGTTTGCTTGTTTTTGATAGGTTAAGTTGGTTGGTTAGTTGGTTGGTTGGTTGTACTTTAAGGTTTTGTGTGTTGAAGTTTCTGTAATCTACCATGACCTTAAAAATATTCTTTTCAACTATGATACTAGGCACAACCATGCTTCAAGACATTAGCAGGAAATGTCTCCAATGATCCAACAGAGAGCAGATCTTGGAGGTACATGCAACATCTCCACTTCTCCCTAGGGTAGGGCTTTAACTCTTCCCATCTGGCACCCTGCTGTCCTGCACTTACTCCCAAGATTTTCAAGAGCCCACATAAGTGTGTGTGTGCGCGCGCACATGTCTCTGTGTGTGTGTGTGCATCTGTGTGCGTGTTTAAAAGGCCTGCATTTTACTTAAAACATAGACCAAGCCTGAATTTATCCATGCAACATTTAAGATTTTCCTTTCCAGTCAGTGGTGATGTACATCTTTAATCCCAACACTTGGGAGGCAGAGGGAGATGGGTCTCAGTGAGTTCAAGGCCAGCCTGGTCTACAAAGCAAGTTCCCAGAGAGCCAGAAATACACAGGGTAACCCTGCCTCAAAAAACCGAAGGAAGGAAGGAAGGAAGGAAGGAAGGAAGGAAGGAAGGAAGGAAGGAAGGAATGAAGGAAGGAAGGAAAAATTTTTCCTTTCCATTTATATTCTCTCTGGCCTCTTATCTCTTACAAAGGACTCCACAACTCCAAAGGAAAAAAAAAAAATTTCAGTGAATTTCCCTTGTCTAGAAAAAAAATGTCTCTTTGCCCTGTCTCTAGCTCTCACTACCATTGCTCTTATCCTAGCTCTTTCTCCAGCTTGAGGGAGGAGCCCCAACCACCAGACAGAGGTCTCTAATCCCATCACCTCATAGTAAGCAAGGAAGCCAGCCTGCTTGGTGTACTTCCCAGGAGATGCTGGTCCCATTGAGGCAGCCTGCAATCCATTCTTGGATTCTTTGAGGAGGTGGAAGGTCCGTCCATAGGCAGGGAAGCCCATGAGAAGTTTATCTGCGGGTGCCCCAAGATTTCTCCAGTAATTCATGGCAAAGGCCTAGGTGGAAAGAAGACAACCTCATGGCAATACAAGAAAATACCTGCTGAACTCCCTGGATTGGCCCCTGATCCTGCTGCTCCTGTCTCCGGTCCCCTTTGAGAGCACCCTTGGAGCTCTGATACACCCCCACCCATCCCAACCTCCAGCCTACCCCCCCCCCCACCCTGTGCCCTACCCCACCTACGGTCCTGCCGCTCTGGTTGACCACTGGGACAGAGGGTGGAGCCAACAGTCCACCCTACTTCGGAGACCTCTCGGAGCAACTCCGAACAAAGGAGACCTGACTATCCACATGGGACCACCTGTAATTTCCACCAGCTTAGTCCCTGACCCCGCCTCCAGTCCTCTGCTGGAGTCCCAGGCCCCTCCCAGAGATCCGCCTATCTCTGCGGGTCCACTTGGAGTTCCTGCAGGCAAGATCCTTGACCCCCAAATCCGGGCCCCTGCCAAAGAACGAGGTCTCAGCTGGAGAGCGCCAGTTTCCAGTGAGATCCCACTACCCTGCAAAACCTTCTCAAGTTCCAGTCCAGCCCTCGTCCTCTTCTGCCGGCTATTGGCCAGAGAGAAGCCTCCTAGAGAGCTTGGACCACACAGAGATACAGACATTGAATCTTTGATCCACATAAGCCCATCTGGGAAGGACCATAGAGAGAGGGAAGAGACACCACCAACACCTACAGGAAGAAACTATGGGAAGAAGGCAATACAAGAGAACACCTAACAACAGAAAGACAAACATGACACCACCAGAATCTAGGGAATCTACACCAACTAGAATGGAACACAACAACAAAGCAGAGGAAGCAGAAGGGTACGACTTAAAAATCACCATCATAAAAATGATAGAGGCCCTCAAAGAAGATATGAGAAAATCCCTTAAAGAAATAGAGGAAAAAACAAACAAAAAAGTGGAAAAAATGAACAAATTCCTTAAGGAAAGTACAGAAAGCCAAGAAAAAACAATTAACCAGGTGAAGGAAACGGTTCAAGATTTGAAAACCGAAATTGAGAAAATAAAGGCAACACAAATGGAAGGAAAGCTGGAAATTGAAAAGCTGGGCAAAAAATCGGAAACCACAGACACAAGCATAACCAATAGAATTCAAGAGATGGAAGAGAGAATCTCAGGCGCAGAAGATAAACTAGAAGAAATAGATTCATCGACCAAAGAAAACCATAAATCCAACAAATCCTTAACACACAATATCCAGGAAATGTGGGACACCATGAAAAGGCCAAACCTAAGAATAATAGGCATAGAGGAAGGTGAGGAAGCCCAGCTCAAAGGTGCTGAAAACATATTCAACAAAATCATCGAGGAAAACTTTCCAAATCTGAAGAAGGACATGCCCATGAAAGTACAAGAAGCATACCGAACCCCAAATAGGCTGGACCAAAGAAAAAAGACCCCTCGACATATAATAATCAAAACACCTAGCATACAGAATAAAGAATATTAAGAGCAGCGAAGGAAAAAGGACAGGTAACATATAAAGGCAGACCTATCAAAATTACACCTGACTTCTCCATGGAAACCCTCAAGGCCAGAAGGTCCTGGATAGATGTTCTAAAAGTATTAAGAGAACACGGATGCCAGCCTAGGCTACTATATCCAGCAAAACTCTCAGTCAATATAGATGGAGAGAACAAGATATTCAATGACAAAACCAGATTTTCCCAATATGTATCTACAAATCCAGCCCTACAGAAAGTATTGGAAGGAAAATTCCAACCCAAGGAAGGTAACTACGCCCACAAAAATGTAGGCAACAGATAATCCAACTACACCAGAAACCTAGGGTGAAGCAGAACAAATATATTCACAATACCACTGCCAACAACAAACCTAAATCAAACAACCATCAACAATCAATGGTCCTTACTCACCCTCAACATTAATGGTCTTAAGTCACCTATAAAAAGACACAGATTAACAGAATGGATACGAAGACAGAATCCATCCTTCTGCTGCATACAAGAAACACATCTTAGCTCCAAAGATAGACATTACCTCAGGGTAAAGGGTTGGGAAAAGATTTTCCAATCAAATGGAAATAAGAAGCAAGCAGGCGTAGCTATCCTAATATCTAACAAGCTAGACTTCAAACCAAAACTAGTCAAAAGAGATGAAGACGGTCATTTCACATTCATCTCAGGAGAAATCCATCAACACAAAGTCTCAATTCTGAACATCTATGCCCCTAATACAAAGCCACCCACATTCGTAAAAGAAACACTACTAAAACTCAAAGCTCATATAAAACCTCACACACTTATAATGGGAGACTTCAATACACCACTCTCAACACTAGACAGGACCACAAATCAGAAACTCAACAAAGAAACAAAAGAATTAACAGAAGTTATGTCTCAACTGGGGCTAACAGACATCTATAGAACATTCCATCCAAAGACAAAAGAATATACCTTCTTCTCTGCTCCACATGGAACCTTCTCTAAAATCGACCACATACTAGGAGACATAACAAACCTCAACAGATACAAGAGAATAGAAATAGTCCCCTGTATCTTATCGGACCACCATGCTTTAAAATTGGAATTCAACAACAATACAAATAGCAGAAAACCTGCAAACTCATGGAAACTTAACAATGTGCAATTGCACCACTCCTGGGTCAAAGAAGAAATAAAGAAAGAAATTAAAGACTTTCTAATATTCAACGAGAATGAGGATACAACATACCCGAACTTATGGGACACCTTGAAAGCAGTGCTACGAGGGAAGTTCATTGCACTAAGTGCCCATATGAAGAAAACAGAGGATAGTCACATAAATGAATTAACAGCGCAACTGAAAACCTTAGAACAAAGAGAAGCGAATTCACCCCGCAGGAGCAGACGCCAGGAAATAATCAACTTGAGGGCTGAAATCAACAAAATAGAAACCAGGAAAACAATACAAAAAATCAATGCAACAAAGAGTTGGTTTTTTGAGAAAATCAACAAGATTGATAAACCTTTATCCAAATTAACGAAAAAGCAGAGACAGAACATGCAAATTAACAAAATCAGAAACGAAATGGGGAACATAACAACAGACACAGAGGAAATCCAGACAATTTTCAGGTCATACTTCGAAAATCTGTATTCCACAAAAATTGAAAATTCAAAGGAAATGGACAAGTTTCTGGATAACTATCACTTACCAAAATTAAATCAAGAACAGACAAACAACTTAAATAGACCTATAACCCGAAATGAAATAGAAGCAGTCATCGAAAGCCTTCCAACGAAAAAAAGTCCAGGGCCAGATGGATTCAGTGCAGAATTTTACCAGACATTCAAGGAAGAACTAATACCACTACTCCTCAAACTGTTCCACAAGATAGAAAAAGAAGGTTTATTGCCAATCTCTTTTTATGAGGCCACAATAACTTTGGTACCCAAACCTCACAAAGACACAACTAAGAAAGAAAACTACAGACCAATATCCCTGATCAACATCTATGCAAAAATAATCAATAAAATAATGGCAAACCGAATTCAAAAATACATCAGAGAAATCATCCACCATGATCAAGTAGGCTTCATACCTGGATTGCAGGGATGGTTTAACATACGAAAATCTATCAACGTGATCCACCATATAAACAAACGGAAAAAGAAAAACCATATGATTATCTCCCTAGATGCAGAAAAAGCCTTCGATAAAATTCAACACCCTTTCATGATAAAGGTATTAGAGAGGTCAGGGATAACAGGAACATACCTAAACATAATAAGAGCAATATACAGCAAACCAACAGCCAACATCAAACTGAATGGAGAGAAACTTAAGCCAATTCCTCTAAAATCAGGAACAAGACAAGGCTGTCCTCTCTCTCCATATCTCTTCAATATCGTACTAGAAGTTCTAGCTAATGCTATAAGACAACAAAAGGAGATCAAGGGCATCCAAATTGGAAAGGAAGAAGTCAAACTGTCTCTATTTGCAGATGATATGATAGTTTACATAAGCGACCCAATAAACTCTACCAGGGAACTCCTACAGCTGATAAACACCTTCAGCAAACTAGCAGGATACAAGATAAACTCAAAAAAATCAGTAGCCCTATTTTTTTCAGACGACAAAGAGGCAGAGAAAGAAATCAGAGAAACATCACCCTTTACAATAGCCACAAGCAACATAAAGTATCTTGGTGTAACGCTTACCAAACAAGTAAAAGATCTATATAATAAGAACTTTGTGACTCTAAAGAAAGAAATTAAAGAAGATACCAGAAAATGGAAAGACCTCCAATGCTCTTGGATAGGTAGGATAAACATAGTAAAAATGGCAATCTTACCAAAAGCAATCTACAGATTCAATGCAATCCCCATTAAAATCCCACCACAATTCTTCACCGACCTTGAAAGGATAATAATCAACTTTATATAGAAAAACAAAAGACCCAAGATAGCCAAAACAACCCTATACAATAAAAGAACATCAGGAGGCATCACCATTCCTGACTTTAAGCTCTACTACAGAGCTATAGTTCTGAAAACAGCCTGGTATTGGCATAAAAATAGACAGGTAGACCAATGGAATCGAATTGAAAATCCTGATATTAATCCACGCACCTATGAACACCTGATTTTCGACAAAACAGCTAAAATTATACAATGGGGCAAAGACAGCATCTTCAACAAATGGTGCTGGCACAATTGGATGAGGGTATGTAGAAGACTGCAGATAGACCCATGTCTGTCGCCATGCACAAAACTCAAGTCCAAATGGATCAAAGACCTCAACATCAATCCAGCCACATTGAACCTCTTAGAAGAGAAAGTAGGAGGTACCCTTGAACAAATTGGTATAGGAGACCGCTTCTTGAACATAACTCCAGGGGCACAGACACTGAAAGAAACAATTAATAAATGGGACCTCTTCAAACTTAGAAGCTTCTGTAAGGCAAAGGACACAGTTGACAAGACCAAACGGCAGCCCACTGACTGGGAAAAGATTTTCACTAATCCTATATCTGACAAAGGGCTGATCTCCAAAATATACAAAGAACTCAAGAAACTAGTCAACAAAACACCAAATAACTCTATTAAAAAATGGGGTACAGAACTGAAGAAAGAATTCTCAATGGAGGAAATCAAAAAGGCTGAAAGACACTTAAGAAAATGCTCCACATCCTTAGCTGTCAGGGAAATGCAAATCAAAACAACTTTGAGATACCATCTTACCCCTGTCAGAATGGCTAAAATTAGAAACACCAGTGATGACTTATGTTGGAGAGGATGTGGAGAAAGTGGAACACTCCTCCACTGCTGGTGGGAGTGCAAACTCATACAGCCATTTTGGAGATCAGTATGGCGGTTCCTCAGGAAAATGGGAATTAGTTTACCACAGGACCCGGCAATCCCCCCTCTTAGGCATATACCCAAAGGATTCACATCAATGCAACAAAGACATCTGTTCAACTATGTTCATAGCAGCACTATTTGTAATAGCAAGAACCTGGAAGCAACCTAGATGCCCTTCAATTGAAGAATGGTTAATAAAGATGTGGCACATCTACACAATGGAATACTACTCTGCAGAAAAAAAATAATGGTATCTTGAAATTCGCAGGCAAGTGGATGGCACTTGAAGAAACCATCCTGAATGAGGTAACCCAGTCACAAAAAGAGGAACACAGTATGTACTCACTCATATATGGATTTTAGACCTAGATCAAATGATCACCAGCCTATAATTCACATCACCAGAGGAACCAGGATACAAGTTGTATTCTAAGAGATTCATATAAAGTCCCTCACAGAACTGGGAAGGGACAAGTCCCCCAGACCTCAGGTATAGTGGGGGAGGACAGCTAATGGAGAGAGAAGTTGGAGAAAATGAGAGGGAGGAGAGGAAGGCATGTGCGACCAGGAGGATTGAGCCTGGTTAGGAATGGAAAATAGAAAGAGAGAGAGAGACAGAGACAGAGAGAGAGAACATAAAAGAGGGAGCCAATATTGGTTTGAAGATAAAGTTGAACACAAAGAAAGGTCGTGGGAACTACAAGACTGCTCCCAACTAACAATCTCAGCTTCCGTGGAAAGGCTATCATAAATGCCCTTCCCGGAGAGTGAGATCAACAACTAACTTCTCCATGGAGTCCTCAACTAATGCCTGTTGAAAACAGGAGCAAACACCCATACATAAACACTGAGTCAAACTAGAACCCAGAAGCAGATGGAGAGGACAAGACCATGCGGTAGAAGTACATAGAGACAGCTTACCTGAACAAGGAGGAGCTAAGGGCCACTAGACTGATAGCTGGGAAGCCAACAGGGGTCTGACTCGGACCCCCTGAATATGGGTCTCAGCCAGAAGGTCTGAGCAGCCTAAGAGACCTCAGACTGTGGAGCCAGGATGTATCCCTGGTGCACAAAAGGACTTTGCAAACATATCCCCCATGGAGGGATAACTGCCTTATTCTAGAGATAGGAGAGAAGCCCTAGTCCCTACTTCACAGGACCTGTCAGATCTACATGACCCCAACTGGATGGCATTCCCCTACATATTGTATTGTGGTGGGGGGTTGGGAGGGGAGGGTATTTAGAGTGCATGGGAGAGGGTAGAGAGGGCAAAAGGGAGGGAAGGAGGGAGGGAGGGCTTGGGGAGAGGGAGGGAGGGAGGGAGAGGGAACTGGGATCGACATGTAAAATAATAAAAAAAAAAAAAAAAAAAAAAAAAAACGCTTTGACTCCAAAATTTAAGTTGAAGAACAAGTTACTGGGGAAAAGTATTTCTATTTTTGTTTCCACAGAAAATGAAAAGATGTGGATTCCTTCCAGACTAATGTGGTTTGATCACACCAGACCGCCTGAAACAGAGTACAAGCTGATCCTACATTCCAAACAGCTGGACAAAACAGCCCTACAGACTACAGCTAGGATATCTGAATCTTCTTCGAATCCCCCAAGACAGCGCCCTTACCAGCAGGAAGTAGTTTGGAAAGAACGACGCCCAAATTCCCAAATATTGTGTATAAATGTTTGTTTTCATTTAATTGGACTTTGTTATATAAAATTAAATAAAAATACTCTATATGCATAAAAAAAAAAAGAACTGGGATCGACATGTAAAATAATAAATTAAATTAAAAAAAAAAAAAAAAAGAAAATACCTGACAATAGAAAGACAAGCATGACACCACCAGAATCTAGGGACTCTACATCAACTAGACCTGAACACCCCAGATGAAGCAGAAGAGAACGACTTAAAAAGTTATCTTCATAAAAATGATAGAGGCCTTCAAAGACCATGTGAGAAAATCCCCTAAAGAAATGGAAGAAAAACCAAACAAAAAATTGGAAGAAATAGAGGAAAACACCATGCAAAAAAAAAAAAATGCAAGTAATGAAAAATTTCTTAAAGAAAGTAGGAAAGCCAAGAAAAAACAATCAAACAGGTGAAGGAAATAGTTCAAGACTTGAAAACTGAAATAGAGACAATAAAGAAAACACAAACTGAGGGAATGCAAAAAACAGAAAAACTGGGCAAATGATCAGGAACTATAGACACAAGCATAACCAACAGAATACAAGAGATGGAAGAGAGAATCTCAAGCAGTGAAGAGAAACTAGAGAAAATAGATTCATCGACCAAAGAAAATCTCAAGTCCAACAAATCCTTAACACAAGACATCCAGGAAATGTGGGACACCATGAAAAGGCCAAACCTAAGAATAATAGGCATAGAGGAAGGCGAAGAAGCCCAGCTCAAAGGTGAAGAAAACATATTCAACAAAATCATTGAGGAAAACTTTCCCAATCAGAAGAAGGACATGCCCATGAAAGTACAAGAAGCATACCGACTGGGCCAAAGAAAAAAGACCCCACGGCACATAATAATCAAAACACCTAACATACAGAATAAAGAAAGAATATTAAGAGCAGTGAGGGAAAAAGGACAGGTAACATATAAAGGCAGACCTATCAAAATTACACCTGACTTCTCCATGGAGACTCTCAAGGCCAGAAGGTCCTGGATAGATGTTCTACAAGTACTAAGAGTCCATGGATGCCAGCCCAGGCTACTATACCCAGCAAAACTCTCAATCACTATAGACAGAGAAAACAAGATATTTAATGACAAAGCCAGATTTTCCCAATATGTATCTACAAATCCAGCCCTTCAGAAAGTTATGGAAGGAAAACTTCAACTCAAGGAAGTTAACTATGCTCACAAAGACATAAGCAATAGATAATCCCACTTCACCAGAATCTAAGGGTAAAGCAGGGCAAATACATTCACAATACCACTGCTAACAACAAATCCTTTCCTTACCGAAGATTTGGGGTCTTCAGGAAGGGAGAACAGAGGACTGTTGTGTCCTGTAGACTTTTCCCAACTTCCATGTAAGTCATAAGACAAGACATTAATGAAATCCAGACGTCTGTAAGGAACAGAGGAGGAGATATGAATGTCAGGCTAAGTAAAAACTCAACTCAGATCATCATAGCAGTATTCAGCTAAATAGCTGCAAGTCGACCTTCAGAGTTTCTTGCTGTTGTGGACCTGCCCAGGTTAAATGAGCTACTTTGAGATGGAATGAATTGCTGACTAGCAATAGCTGTGCATCTGGCTCTATGCATCCCAAGAGTATATGTGGAGGTAGAAAGAGTTTGGACAAGACAATGAATGCATGCAGAGTGTAACAAAGCTGTGAATAAACTGTTATGAATCGAACCACAGTGACACCCCGTAAAGAAAGTGCATGTCAGAGAGCCACTAATGTCCACTCTTCCAGACACTTCCATAACCATAATAACCAAATATAACCTGAGCATGTATCATGCCAGAATGTGAGGGTTTATACTGGTTATCTAATCTGGTGAATGCCATAGACTCTCCCTTTGTCTGTCTGTCTGTCTGTCATGACAGTGTCTCATTATACAACCCATGCTGACCTAGAACTGACTATGTAATCGCCACTAATCTCAAACTCACGATCCTCCTTCCTCTACCTCCCTGATGCTGTGATTGCGGAAAAGTATACAATACCATATCCAACCAACTTTTTACATTTTAAGGCTAAATAATTAGAAACACATATTAACAAATTTTCTGAAAGTCACCCAATTAGGTAAAGGCAGCACTCTCTCAGTGTTACCTGGCAACACAATGAACACTAATAAGCTTTCTTCCCTGTTGGGTCTCTCTTTTCCTCCCATGTTAAAACACCTCTCCCTGCTGAATTACACAGGGATACCATGTTCTCTGTTTCTCTGCATGAACCTTGGTTTCTTCATCTTTGGTACTTGATTGTGAGTCAGGAAAATTAGGTGAGAGCCAGCATGTCTAGAAAGATTTATGATCTATTTTTGTCTGCTTTTTAACTTTTGCAAAAAGATCTATTCTGAAATGTGAGTACAACTGGGCATTCCTTTCCATGACTTTGCTTGCTACTCACCTGCCCTCTGACCCTATCACTTATTGTCTATTATATGTCTACCCCTGTGCTCAGAAGAGGAGGAGGCCATGCCCATGGCATTCTCTATCTATGAGTTCCAGCAATGGGCTCAAAGAAGACTCTACCTGGGCTAATGGTGTTATAAGCCAGCAGTACAAAACCCAATTCTGATTTTTTAAATAAAAGCCCAGGGATGGGTAAAATACCACTTCATTCCTCAGCTCACCCCAGGACCTCACCAATATGGGACAGCAAACGGAAGCTCAGACAGTGCTTTAGCCACTCAGGAGCAACATCCACTCACCTTCCTAAAAGGTGCACATCATAAGATGTTTGAATGATGTACGGGATGCCAGAGACAGCAGCCGACAGCAGCAGCCTTGGACGCTGGGTAAGCAGTGCCTCCTTCTCAAAGGCGAACTGGAGCTCCTAGGGAGAAAGACATACATACATACATGCATACATACATACATACATACAGACAGACAGACAGACACATACACACACACACACACACACATACACTAAGAGGTGGGATGGGGAGAGGGGAGAGGGGGAAGGAAGAGAGAGAGCGAGAGAGATCCAGAAAGTATTTAAGCTCTTTAAGCTAGGCCTGGGACAGAAAGAGAACACAGGTTCTGCCCACATGTTATGGGAAAGATGGACAGCATACCAACACAATACTTGAGTTACCAGAGGGAAGGAAAGCAGGCTGGGAGCAAGACCAGGACGCTTCAGAGAGAAAGTGTTCCTTTGGCTACAGAGCTGGGACAAGATCCAGATGGAGACAGAAACAGCTCCAGGTTAGCTGCTCTACAGCAGTGTGACTCAGCATCTACATGGAATGTCAGTATAAGAATATTCTGTCCCTTCCCCCCGCCCCAAACTTGTGTTATCTCTCTGACATTCACCCACTCCAAAAGAAAATAGAACCATTTGGTATTGGCTTTACTTCAATTAGGAAGAGAAAATTCCACCGGTCATTCATGGGGCTGCCTCGTAGTCCAGGGTACAAGAAGAAGAGATCAAGCCCATCAAAGCCATGTGTTCTCAGGAAGGATACAACTGAATCAATAAATTCTTCACGGCTGGCAAGAGTGGACAGCATAGTGGAGAACCTGCAGAGAGACCAGGGTAAGGCAAAGAAAAATGTCTTCAAAATCAGTGTCCTCCAAGGCCCTAGCAAGGGCCCCCAGCAGGTGGCATTAAGTTGGCCCAAGAGGTAGAGCGCTCTCAAGGAAAATTCCCAGCCTTGGCTCTTTTATTCTTTGGCTTGTTTGATTTTTGTTTTATTTGTTTCCTTTCCCATAGCAAAACACTTAGGAGTAATTCTCGCTTATCAGAGCTCAACTTTAAGCAAACCCAGATTAATCTTGTGACAAGTGATTATAAAATAACTAGACCTGGAGATACATGGGTCTGGTTTCCACTGGCTACCACTCAGCTGGGCTCTCGAGGGGTGAGGACACCTGGAAGAAAGCTGGCAACTTTCTTAATACTTGTGACTCTTGCTTTCTTTTCCTAATAATTTAGAATATAGCCATTTCACAAGAAATCATTCATATATACCATATATGTGTATGCATACATACATGTGGCATCTCATGTTGGCTTTAGGCTCACAGAAAGTTAAAGGAACAAAGATGAGGCCTGAGGCTTAACAGAGCTAGTTGCTAGACACCTCACATCTGGAATCCTCCATCCCACCTGGAGGTCCTGTTCAAGGGGCATCCTACACAACGCCACACTGTCAGGTCTCCCAGCAAGGCTAAAAGGCAGGCTCTGCCCCAAGACCTTAGCTAGGAAGCAAGGAAACTGTCCTTTTGAGAATATGAAGGTGGTTTGTCATTTCCCTAGTGTGGCACTAACAAAAGCAGCCACTGCATGAAGGATGTATGCTGTGAGCCCCTGCCATAGCACCAAAATGTCACGTTTTTTTTGTCTTTACCTCTAACACAGCCAGCCCCATGCCCAGAGTGGCAAAGCCTATGAGGTTTGGGGGTTATTCTTCTTGTCCTATATAAAACTCCTCTCTTCAGAAGCAAAATTCCCACCTCCAACAAAAAGCATTAAAGACTCCTTTGTGGGTGTCCCTTTCACCTGTTACTCATTTCTTGCCCTGAGTTTCACATCTGATGCCTGTTTTCCTTGGCATTTTGTTTCCTATGGATTTGTATCCCCATGTGGTCTTGTGTTTTAATTTGTTCTGTTCTGTTTTGTTTCATATTGAATGTTTTTTCGGATGATGCTAAGGTGAACACATAAGGTGCTGCCACTATACCACACTCCCAGGCCCAAGTGTGCCATATTGTATCTTATGTTCCCCTGACCCTTTTCTCATCACCTTTAGGATCCTTTTTCCCTCCTGTGATCCTCTGTGGAAAAGGATCCCTTGAATCCAAGACTTGAGAAGGTACCAACATGGGCTTTGCTGTCCTTATATCCAAGCTGGCGCTCTCTCTCTCTCTCTCTCTCTCTCTCTCTCTCTCTCTCTCTCTCTCTCTCTCACACACACACACACACACACACACACACACACACACTATTCTCATTTCTAGCCTATCGCTCTGCCTCCCAGAGAGAAGACAGTGACTGGGTAGCTCACCGTGACGTGCCGAAGTTCCACCCTCCGATGGACAGCAGTGTTTTCAGGGCCCTGTTCCTGGAATGTGGGGGAGAAAGTGGGAAAGCAGGTCCTTACTCTATGGGCAGCTGCAGTCACTGCTTTTCTTTCTTCTGTGTATTAGAAAAACAATAGGAAATGGGGAAGGGGACATGAGAAGAACAGGGAAGGCATGACAAAGGAGGGGACCATAGAAGAAAACAGAGGTGAGTGATCAATCTGAAGACACTGTAGCTCTGCACACCAAGACTATACAACGTGCCCCAAGATCCCTCACTTTCCCACAATATTTCCAGAAAAAAAGCCTAAAATATTTCTAGTCACTCATTTTCCAACTCAACAAATATTCAATGAGCAGTGATTATGTATGTGCCTTTGACTGCTTGAGATGCAACAGCAAACACATAGACAAGCATCCCACTCACCTCTTTGAAGCACTTTAGTAGCATTAATCCCTCACAACTGGGTTCAAAGGGTGAGCCTGAGGTTACCAGGGCAAAAGGGTGTGAAGACACCCAGGAACAGGCAACATTAACTCCCAAGTCATGGAGACAAGAAGCAGCTCAGGAGACTGGTCAATAGAAAGCTCTTAAGTAAGAAGTGCTCAGATCTCCGTTTGTGAGAAAGGTAGGATTAGAAAACTCAGGGAAATTTAAGAGTAATAAGGAAAATGGGCTTAACTTTCCTCTAGCTATAAAATCTGAGACCCCAACTGTACATCTAACATACCTCTCCTTGAGTTTGTTGAACTCTGGATAGAGAATTTTCTCATCCTGTAGATTATTGGCAATAATCTGATTGTTGTTCATTGAGGCAAAGGCAAATATCAGGTGTGTACAGAGAAAGGGGTCCAGGTCACGGGGCAAGATAGAGGCAGGACCTGGTCGACTGGGAGCCCAATTGGTGAAATAACACACCAGCTTGTAGGCAGAACCTGGCAAAGACAGCAAGGATTAGTCAGCGGAGATCGTAGGGCAAGGAGGGAACTCTTGCTTCTGGAAGTTAGAGAAAGCACAGTCAAAGAGAGCAGGCCACTGTAACAGCCCACATACACCAACGCCTACACCACATGCCCCTAGATCCTGTGCCCTTGCTGCTGAGATGAAAAAGAAAGAATGCCTTATCCATCTAGATCCTGGCAATACTAAGCCATACAAACAGCAACTGGCCAGTGTCCTGTGCTGAAATGTATGGGATCAATAACCTCTGACCAAGGAGACAAGATAGGCAGGGGTCCAGGAGACACCAAATGGAGATTTCCTAGCCAGAGAATCTCCCTAGCTTTGGAGGGGAGAAGGTGGTTTCCTTACCATCGGTGTGTTTCATCAGAAGAACCAAACCTGCAGGAAATGAAGGAATTCATATATACACACACAGTGTGGTTTGCCCCTCTCTACACCCCCCCAGTTAGCAAGTGCCCCCTCCAGCTCAACACCACACACACATGCAGATACACACAAAGTGACACATGAGTCAATGGTTTCCACTCCTTCAAAGTTAACAGTGGAGCTAGTCTAAACCCTCTACCTGCTCCTGCTTTGAATAGGGACAATGGTAGATGTTCAAGCTAAAGCTCTCAGCCAGTGGTTCTCAATTGTAGCTATAAATTCAAAAGGACTCACATCAAAGCTCTCTCCTCAGATATTCTGAATAAATTGACCCAAGATGAAGACCAAGCATGAAAACAGCTAGGTTGGGAGACCTGCTGCCCAGCCCCTTCTGCTGAGTACCTCCCATTCTTTACCATGTCTAACTCATATTTGCCTCATCCAGACTCTAAGTCCCAGGCTGCTTAACTGGGCACCAGAGAAATGTCAAACTGGTATCTTCTGAACTGTATGCCATTGCTAGAATCTGCCATACTCACCAACCCACAGCAGCAACCTCCCCATCTCAGCGGTCTGGCAGCTATAGGGCTGGAGCTCAAGACCTTTTAATAGGAGCTGGTCCTTGTGCAGCATAGGGAGAGCCCAGCTACACACGCATGCCATGCCAGAAACGATGATTCAAGAGTCACAATGACCTCAGAAATACTTCTACTCCCTCTCAAGAACAGCTGTAGTTCTCAGGGCCTGCAAAACCACATCCCCAGCCTGACATTAGCAGGGAGTCAGTGTTCACCACAGGCTGTAACAAAGGCAAGGACAGTGTGTGTTCCTGAGCCTTGTCTGGCAACTGGCCCCATTTCCTGGTATCCAACTCCTCACAGCTGAGGTGGAGGAGAAACACTGCATGATGGGGTATATCCATAAAGATTATTTAAAAAGCAGTTATTATGAAGCTGCAAAGCTTCAGCTTGGGATTCAGGCTTTAGGGCCAAGGTAGCAATCCCTGTTATACCACTTATGTTTTATAATTTTGGAATATTGAGCCCCTGCAGTTTCCATACATAAGGGAAAGTCTGCTATTCTTGAGATAATAGCTCATTCTTACCTCCCAGGAATATATAGGGACTGAAGAGGTAGTGTGAAAATTGCAGTTTGCATAAAGTAAGAGCTTAGTTAATTATAGATGTTATTAGGAAATTGGCCAGAAGAGCAGGATGCCCAAACTCAAATACTGCCTGACACTCACCAGGCAGCTCATGTCAATAGATGGAGTAAACACACTAAAACAGTTCTCTACATGATACAAAGAAAGTTCAGACCCAAGTGTCTAATGTGCAGCCCAACTGGAGAACTATTGCACTAATCCTTCTTCCCTGATTTCTCTGACCTTTCACAGTCAACTGACATGAAGCCCTGTGGTCCAGAGAGATTGGTACAGAAGGGGACAGCACTCTCGAGCAGCAGCTACTGGTTGTTCTGTATGGCAAATGGGCCTGGAGCTGATAGAGCCATTATTTTCCCAGGCAAAAAGCAAACAAACAATGGGACCTGAGCCTCAGGAATATAAATATGATTATGAACACTCAAGAGCCAATTTAAAGAAATGCAATAACAATGCAATGGTTAAGAAAAAGTCTATACATCAGCTGTTGCTTTAACCCATGGGTTTTCTCTTTCTCTGCTCTAGATGGTCTCAGACTGTGTGCCCTCTCTCTTAGACAGATGCTGCTGCACATGTAAGGAAGGGCTACGCAGATTCCAATGCTAGGGAGGATTCAGAAAAATCACAGTGCCCAGAGGTCAAATCTACTGAACATCTGTCCTTCGCTTATGGGATGAAATAAGCAAGAAACTCATAATTTTTATATCAAAAGTTTATTTAGATATCAAAGAACAAAGACAAATGGAGTAGTGTGTGTTTGTGTGGGTTGTGTTTCTTGGAAAGCAACAATGGTTGCAATGAGAAAGCTGTATTATCAGACTGACCCCAGGACCCCTTCCTGCTCTGTGTCATCCCTAGGGTCCTTTGAGTCCTATCTACATGCTTCATGTATCTTCCACTCCTTGGGCTGCTGTTAAACTAAATCAGATCAGCAAGCCTCCCAAGGCAATAAATAATTTATACCATTGGTTTAACAACTCCCGATGTTCTTTTCCACTAATGACCATGCTTTTCTCAGTCACTATTCATGTGCGCTAATTCTTGTTATTGGATATATGACTTTGCAAACCCATCTATAAGTTATTGATACTATGGTTGGTTTCTGGGGCCTCAGTCTTGCCAGGCTCTATCATGGCTGCTCTACTGGTTCCCTTCCAATATCTTATGAAATGTTGATCTCTACTTCTGAGCCTTCCCCCACTGTGACTCCTTCCTGCCTTTCAAGACTATTCATGGCTGAGATTTGTGCCCTTCATATCACACCGCTGCCAGCACTAGCTGTCACTATAATTTGCCTGCCAATCTGCACCTTATCTCTCCAGATCCACAGGAGTTGCTAGGATGCTGAGAAAGCTAAGACAGAACAATGGTTGCCACCAATGACCTCTGCCTAATCCAGGGGCGACCATGCCAAAAAGCTGGCAACTCTGATTCTTTATACAGTGGTTGATGAAAACATTAAATAAGGATTAAATAGAAGACCAATGTGCTGTGCCTGTTTGTTCACAATTTTATTCCTTCAGTCCTTGCCTTAAAACGAAAAACAGCCAATGCTTCTGTGACACATCCACTGGCATCTAGAATCTATTCTTTAGTGCTCAGCCTATTCTTACAGGGAAAGATATTTACTAGTGTATGTTACTTGGGTAACTGAAGAATTCTGCAAAGCAGCATGACTGCTCTCGTATTTCATTAGTAATGGAGATGAAGGCAGGAACACGTGTGAAGTCCTTTGTTTGAACAAAGCATTTGACTAAAAACTAACATTGTGGAGGAATTGCAGAAGCATGTTTAAATTAAATCATTGTGTGAATGATACAAAATTCCAGAGTGAGCATTTTCTAGCCCATTAGCTCGTCTTTAAAGTGAAGTATTCCCAGTATTGATTATAAAAGCTAATTGTTGATTAAGCATGAAGACTTTTTATCTTCATATTGAATGTTTATTGTATTAGAAAATGTGCATTACCACATACAGCAATGTTTTCACAGATCATGTTCCTTGTCTTTTATTCTAGCATGTTTGAAAGCATGCACCACTACTTTAGACTGTGTGTAACGATTTATAAGTTAAGCATATTGTCCCAGGTTTATTTTGGTTTTTTTGTTTTTGAGATAGGCCCTCATAGCCCAGCCTGATAATCTGAGCTCTTTACTGAAGAAGCCATGCCTATCTCTGTAGCTACAGATTCAAAAGTTAAGCAGCCTGCCTTTGGAATAAGGAAATATACACCCAGAGAAACCAGACACACCCAGATTAATGTTTCAAAGCCTGGCCAATGTCATGATTTCTGATAAATTGTAAACTGCAGAACCCAAAGCTAATTTAGCTTGTGGACATAACATGTATTCTCAGGTACAATCCTCATGGTGTTGCTGAGAATCCGAGAGAGAACTACCACCAAAGTGGCAAATTTTCATTTGAAACTAATTCTTAATTCCTAAGCACAATGCCTCTAAAATGAAATGCTTGCCTAGAATCTGACACTCAACATCACAGGGTCAAATGAAATCTGTTATTGTTAGTGACTTTTCAACCAATGACACTGACTGGTTTCCACCAGAACCGTGTTAGGGACTAAACTCTATTTTACTGAGCTTTTGAATTTTGACAGTCTATTCCTTACAAAAAGAACAGAAGAATACCATTTATAACAAGTATTCTGTAGTAAGTGGAAGACCACATTAAACATAAGCTAAGACCGCAGGATCACGCATTGTGTTGTGTAACTTACCAGCTATTCCTCCTTCAGCCCCTTTTGGGTACACCTGTCCTTTTACCACACACCAAAGATGAAAACATACATGCTTCCATAGGAAGACCAAATCCCAGCACTTATGAGAAACCTCACAAAGAAATGTGTTTGGATGTTCACAGTGGTCTGCTTGCCTTGCTTATTTTCCAACAGTACTGTACAGACTAGAGATGAAGCTATTGAGAGATTTTGAGACTGGAGCTTGCTTTCCCAAACAAAAGCAATTTACTGGTTCTGAACGCTTTCCCCCAGTATTACCCATGTTGGTAATAAGCAGCTCACTAGCTTCTCCCACACACAGACTTTGCTAAGCCTTCACGGTATACACAAAATAAATACCTTGTCTTTTTCTATTCGTATTTACTTGGTGGACTCAAAGCTAAGCCAAACAGTATCAAAGCACAAAGGAAATACAAGACACTCATTCTGTCCAAATACAACACTTTAAAAACCAGAGCACTTTACGCTCCCTTCTAAAAAGCAGCAATGTTATGATGCTCTGTGAAGTCGATGAGCTTTTAGAATACAAAGCCTCTTCCCCAATATCCTGTCCTTCCTTATATTCTAAAAATATAGAAACCCAAAGCAGTTTGAGTTTGGGTACTTATATTTATATGCATAAAGGTGGGCAGAGGACAATTTGCGGAGTCAGTACCATCCTTTCCCACGTGGGTTGGAGACTAAATTCAGGTCATCAGGCTTGATGGCAAGCTGACCCACTGAGCCATCTCCTGACCTTGACTTTGGGTATTTCTGAAGCTGTGACAGTAAGCCACAAGAAATGTCCACATGGGGATCAGCTGTCACCTGAGACTATACAAACCTTCAGTGTTTCATGTCCCAAGCACTCGCAACTTTAGGAATAACTCTCAGGCCTTAGTGGGCTAGGGGTCAGCAGCTGAGTGGTGGTCAGGCTAACAGGGTTCTAAGAACAAATAACAAGGCTATGGAAACGCATTCACTCAAAGTCAGTCATTTGAACATAACACTAACCTGAAGAAAACTGAATGGTTTTCAACAAGCAAAATGACCCATTGTTCTCTGTCACTGGGCCTTGCAGGACTGCAACTGTTCTCAAGACAATGAATGACATGCTGCAACTCCAGCCCTATGTTCCTGATTGTTTCCAGGTCTTTTATTTTGTACTATCTTCTCTGCTCATAAAATACAATCATCCAGAAATTATGCTTGTTAATTGTGGCTTTGACTAAGTTTGCGCATCTGTGGCAAGCATTAATCATTATGAACTACTTTTTATCAATACAGACCTAAAAGGAAACTTAAATCTTAGGTTCTCTGAAGAGCAAGTGGTCTTATCTACCTCATTCTTCATTTTTAAACAATGAAAAGTTCTTCAAACAGTTCTTCAAAATCTTGTTTCCCGTCCTTAGTGTCATTTTAGTCCTTCTAACAGTTTTTTTTTTTTTTTTTTTGAAGTCTTTTCTTTAAGGTTCTTCCCCCCACCCCCCATCAGTGTTCAGCCTGAGAAACAAGTAGTCATACAAATGCACTATCTGCCCTTCTTGCCTAAGTGACCACAAAACACAAGCTTTATCTCTGAGCAGCAGAAAGTGATTCCACCTACGCATCCTATTCTTTCCCCAGAACTTAGAACAATGGAAATCCGTACTCCCACCCAGTCCCAAGCCCTGGCTGACCATGCCTGCAAATTCAAGTGTTTTACTCAAGGGTAATCACAGGAGCCTCAAGACTAGCAAGTACAGAATGGAGGCCCACTTTTGTGCTTTTTCCTAAACTAAAGTTGAAACACTCCAAAGTAGATCATCAGTCACTCTCAGAGCCAATATAATCAGTTATGTATCAGGAACTCTAGAGTGATGAGACCACCAACACCAAGCATAAATAAATGTTTAAGTTCTAACCAAACTAGCTACTTCGGGAATGGTAGAATATAGACGTCAGCAGTAAGACACCCTGGTGACTCACCTAAGTGAAACAGATTAAAAAAATAGTAACTGCAGCTTTGGTGGGGGAAAACACCATGACCAAAATCTTTATTTCACCTTTCAGTATTTCAGAGTTTCCCTAACGATGGATCTTATATCTTAAGAGTCCACAAAAACAGCACTCAGGCTTCATATCTTCAGAGGAGATGCCCAGAGACAATCAGAGTATCTTTAGGTGGGAAAAATGACAAAGATTTCTCTGTAACAAACCCTGTCAGTTTTCTGACATCGCTGAAACACCTTTAAGTGTTCTGTCATCCCTAAAACTTTCTATGAAATCTAGGACAGGAAAACTCACCTCTCATACAACACTGAGGAGGGTAAAGGGTGAGCAAGAGCAAGAACTACATTGCAACAGCAAAACTTACTCACCCAGAAAATGGATCTGAAAATTCAGTTTAACAGAGATTTGTACAAAACTGTGGTATTTCTGTGTCTTCTCAAGGTATACTGTGCTGGACTTTTGTGGATTGAAGTATTTCCCATAATAATGAATTAAACTCCATATAAAAATAAGTTACCCCATCTCTGAGTAGTAGAACTACTCCCACAAATCTAGTGATACCCACATTCCATATCCCAAATAACATATTCAATTCTTGGCCTTGGGAAGCATAAAACCCTCTGATCACTTTGTGGGAAATAAAGAGCATTGCTTTGGGAAAGCTGAAGAATAATCCCCACCCCCACCCCAAACTACTGAATACACTCATACACATGTGCTCTCCCACATATACCCTTTATAAAGGACGTTTTTCCTCCTAGTCACTATGGGCTGCAGCCTCCCTCAGGCTGAGAATCTGCCTGTTTACTGCATGGGACTAGAGAATAACATACTCTACAAGGCTCCTGTGCTCACACAATTGGGAGGCAGGGGCAAGCAAGTAGAGTCTTGCAGGTGGAGGGCTTGTTTCTTTTCTGAAATCCATTCTACTCCGCAGCATTCTCTGGTGCAGGGGCTGGGAGAGGCTCTATGGGCACAACATGGTGGATGACTTGATGGTCCCAGCCAACTGTGGTAAGGAGGGAGTGGTTAAGTGGAGACCACGTAGCATCTCTCACAAAGTCTCTGTGGGCTCGACTTCTAAACCTGGAACAAAGGCAGGGGGATGGGGGAGGGGGTGGTAAGAAACAAGAAAAAAAAACCCAGGTGGAAAGAAGACAGAAAGAAAACCTAACATACTCAAGACACGGTTTTTAAACACTTTACCACTTGTACAGTCTCATCACCAGGACAGTGAATGTCTAATCATCAAATCCAGTCTACTTTCGTAGGTGAAGAAATGGTAGGCAAAGCAAGGAAGGGGTATATCCACAACCAAGCAGGAAATCACAGCAAAGAAGGATGTACACCTAGGTCTTCCATGCCCTTTTCTCTATAGCAGGTTCCACTTCACAGAAGGGGTTCCCTTAGAGAAGCTGGAATGCTAGACCTAGCCTACAATCAGAATACTTCCAGAGCTCATTCTCTGCAGACCCACTGTGGGTGTCCATAAAGATGGCTGCACTCCATCTTGGCACAAGGGCAGAAAGTTCAAACCTCATACCTCAACAAGTCAAAGGTATGGCTGCAGAAGGATGTCTGGCTGTCTTTAAATAACAAAAAACCTGAATCTGAAGTGTGGCTACTCCTGACTCTCAAGATTAGGGAAGAAGTTGGAGCTAAGGTATGGTTACTGAACCCTTAGAATAAGTGAGGAAGAAAAGTCTGTTTGTTCCATATACATGATACTGTGTTCCCCTTTTTGGTTAAGGTATATAAGAGTGGTGAAAAATAAACTCATGGCATTTCAGTATTGACTGATCTGCCCTCCTGACCTTTATTTTTTCTGTCTTTTCTTTATCGTCTATAGCTAGACTTTCCCTCATCCACACTCCCCCACTCAGGTACAGATTTGGGGCCGCTCTTCTGGTTCCGACTACAGCCCCACAAAGACCCCTCCCGACAACATACGGACACAAATGGAGAGAGCCTCTATAGACAAAGACAGAGAATTTTCTCCTATTTGTTTCTAATAATGTGTAAGTGAGTATGTGCACCTGAGTGTAGATGCCCACAGAAGCAGAGGCATCACATGCCTTCGATCTGGAGTGACAGACAGCTGTGAGCACAATGCCATGGAAGCAGGGAACAAAGACAAATTTCTTAACTGCTGAGCCATTTCTCCAGACCCAACAAAAAATTCTACACGCATGTTCCTGAGAACAGACCTGCATGTCCACTGGTCTTGGTCCCTGATTCCTAACCATAGGATTCTACTTCAAACTTACACTTCAGAAAGGCTTGAATCCAGCACAGCAAGTGAGCAGTCTTCACTCAGGGAAGCCAGAAAGGGAACACTAGGAGAGGTAACAAAGGGAAGAGAAGATAAAGCCCACAGATTACACAACCAAAATCTGACTGCCCCAGCCCCAAACTCACTGTAAACTGAGCCAGGGGAGAAGGTAGCCTGATACCTACCTTGGGTTAAAGGTCTTGCTCTTACAATTCCAATAAAAATGGAACCGAGCCAGAGCTCATAGAAACCACACTGGCAACCAACTACCCAATGGGCCCCTCTCTACATTAGCAATTACCCAGAATTAGGCTCCTCTAGCACATGGAGCCAGAAGCCTAGCATTAATCAAGCTGTGTTGAACAGCAATGAGCTCACATTTCAACTGTTTTTAGACTATACAACCCTAATAAGTACTACACTGACTAGCTTAGGAAAACCAAGCTAGAGTAGTGTCCCATCTAAGGAACAAAGCTAATGCATTGCCAACAATATATTTCTTATCATTCCATTCCTACTCCCTCACCACTGTCCCCACCCATCCCTTCCAGATTCCTGGTAACAAACAGTACCTGTGTGGAGAGAACACCAGCCTAGTGACACACTGGGAATGCACAGCTGAGCTGAGGGTACAGCTTGCATTCTTGGTGTCTACAAGGGAGACAGATCCATTTTCATCACCTGTAGAAGAAACAGCATGTTACAGTGGCTAAGAACATATGCTTCAGGCTGGCAACAGTCAAGCATGACTTTAATCCTAGCACGCAGGAGGCAGAGGCTAGCCTGTTTAAATAAATATCAAGTTCCAGGACAGACAGAGCTACACAGAAAGACCCTGTCTTAGGAGAGAAAATAACAACAAAAACCATAGGCTTTGATATGCTAGACCTAGATTTGAGTGAATCTTAGCTCCTCAAGATACAGACAAGTTCACCATCCTGAGTACCAGTTTCCTTTTGTAAGGTAGGATTAGCAAATCACTGTGTGGCTGTGACAGTTATCGGATACTTTTTACCGTTACCATATGCAGTCATACCCACAAGAGAACATAATTCCCTAAACAGCAAAGCTGTTTGCCAAGTGACCCAATGATTTCTAACCATGCCCAGAATAAGGGAGCTTGAACAATGAGGAATCCGATCCACTAGGAAAAAATTATGTTCTCCAAAGAGAAATAAATCTGGCCTAATTCATGTAGTGCTGAAGTGTGCTAACAAGAGCGTATACACCCTGAAGGTAGCACTTTCTCATCCTCCCATTCCCAGAGTTCACATGTCATGGTACCTTACCAAAGACAAAGACATCACTCTGCTGAGGATGCCAAGCCAGGGAGGTAGGAAGGTAGCCAGAGGCATTGCAGCCTGGAAAGGAGAAAAGGGAGGTTTGGAACAAAAGCAGCCACAACCTAGAAGAACAGTTTTTCAAGAGAAGTCACAAAGTCCTGGGAACACTTTGACTGGGTTTCTTAAATACTGCTATGGCAATCAAGCATGTCCTCATCCCTGAGCCTCACAAGCCACATCTATCCATCAGTCTCCTGTCATTTGAGAGTATACATTTAAAGCACAAGGCACTACAACAATAATAACACTAGCCCTTTTGTCTCTCTCTGCAGAGTAAACCACCCACATGGAGGGTAGCCCTTCCCCTTGGTACTCATTGCCCTATGGTCAGCACAGAGCCTCAGTGAGACAGAGGGTGGGCATCTGGCAACTCTGTTTTTACTCTGGGCAAAGACAATCTCTTCCAAGTGGGTTCCTATACCACGCTCTCCTCACCATTGATCTCACTTACCCATCTGTGATGCTGGCTTGGGACAGCGGGTATCCCAGAGCAAAATTCTACTGTCCTAGGAAGAGGAACAGAAAAAGGGTTTCATAATGCAAAAGAGCAGCTGTGGGCCAGTCTCCACATCAGAGATCTGGGCCTATTAAAGTTCAGCTACGGTTGGAAAGAAGTGACTAGATCTCACCTCACTGCATGAAAGAAACATGGAATCTTTGTGGGGAGAGGCAGCAACACAGGTGACCTGTCCTGCATGAGCTGCAATGGAGAAACATGGCAGAAAAAAAAAGAGAATGTAAGAAATAGGCCTGCTTTCATGGTATAACTTAATAAATATTATGACAGATTATAAACTAGAACCACCAAAGGAAAAGTAAATAGTTATAAAACAGGAAAAGGCTCGGGGAAATGATGAACTGGTAGGGACAATAAAGTTCAATTACAGGCTTAGTAAGAATAGTGGAGGAATTTGCAGTATGGATAGTATGAAAGAAAGGCTATCACTAACAGTTTCCATAACAGAGATATAGACAGCTCTAAGTAGTACAGAAAAACCCGAGGGTTCTGGCACTATGTTTTAAGCAATGTGAGTATTCTAATACGCTTTCCCTCGAGTGTAAACTGAACTGCCTGTGCTTTGCCATCATGCTTCTCCCGCTTTATAGGTAGAATGTGTGTCTCCCTTCCAGCCAGAGTCTTCCCATGCCAGCGTTCAGAGCCTGAAAACCTAAGGCTCTCAAAGGAGAATAGGGACTGAACCTGTCTCAGCTACCCCACATATGCAAGGGCAGCTGTGACTTGCCTCACTGTTTCTAACAGTGAAAACTGAAAAGTAAAATAGTTGTCATAAGAATATAACCAATTAGCTTATCTGAACTAATAAACCAAGCTGGACTTTCTGTATAAGAAAGTGAAGCCTAATGCTGCAAACAGGACAAACTGGTTTTTGTCATTAGGCTATTTGTAAACGGTTTCTGTAAGAAAGTTACTGACACTGAAAAACACATGCTTAGGGAAAAAAATGTGTAACAAAAATTATGAAAAATTAACCTCTTGCAAACTACCTAATTTTTAAGTTATTCATGTATTAATTAGGTATGTGTTCCCATGTGCCACAGCACATGCATGGCGGTCAGAGGACAGCTTGCAGGAGGCAGTTCTGTTCTCCAGGTTTCATAGCAAACCACCAAACCATCTTACTTGCTCTACTTAAATCTTTTCGCTAACAATTTTTAAAATGTATGGGAGGGTATAGCTTTTAGAAGGTTTACATGTGAAAAACAAATCATTGCTACAAATTAGAGGTTGGAAACATCACTGAGGTCATTAGCCAGCCCTTCCAAGAGTACCCAAAATAGTCTGCCTTAAGGACAACCCTCCATTCTTCCATCCTCACTGTCCACCTTCAGAAATTCAAAATCAAAAACAATTGCTACCAAAATAAAGTCAACTGCTGGTTCTGTTAATGAAGCGAAATAAAAAGAACATTAAAGAGAGTGATGAAATGCCCTGAAAAGATGTTTTCTAGAGGTGAAAATTCAAAACTTAGGATTCAAAAGTCTTGGGCAGGAGTGTTTCCTGTACCAGCATCAAGCCCAGTATGGTGGCACTTGGTTGTAATCCCAGCACTGGGAAGGCAGAGACAAGTGAACCCTTGTGGCTCCCTGGCTGGTCAGCCCCGCCTCATCTGTGAGTTCCATATCCTAGTGAGAGAATCAGTCTTGAAGAACAAAGTAGGTATCTCCAGCATTGACCTTTGGCCTCCACACACATGCACATATTGACACACATACACTAGTCCCAGGGCTTATCCTCTCAAAATGGTAAGACTATACTATGTCTGGGTTAAGCACAATTTACAGTCACAATAAAGCTTGAATGATGACAAGAAAATGGGATCTTGTTCTGCAGGATACAAGAAACAAATGAATAACTAAGAGTCACAGAAGACAGGATAAGAGATGAGTAATACTGTTTATTAAGGCGGGCATTGGTGGCGCACGCCTTTAATACCGCACTCGGAAGGCAGAGGCAGGCAGATCTCTGTGAGTTCTAGACCAGCCTGGTCTACAAGAGGTAGTTCCAGGACAGCCTCCAAAACCACACAGAAACCCTGTCTTGGGGGGTTGGGGGGGAGGGACGGACACAACACTGTTTATTGATAAAGCCTGATGGTAAACAATGTAGGAAATGGACCAACCAAACGGAGACTCAAAGAACCCAACAAACACTGCGTATGGAGAAGATAGAATCTGTTAGCCACCGTGATTTAAAATGTTTGGCTCCCAGTTGGTGGTCTATTTAGGAAGGATTGGGATGTGTGGTCTTATTGGAGGAGATATGTCACTTAGAGTGGGCTTTGAGGTTAGAAAAGCCCATGCCATGCCCAGTCTTGCTATCTTTCTGCCACAGCCTTGTGAATTAGAATGTAACACTTAGCTACTGCTCAAACACCATGCCTACCTGCTTGTCCCATTCTCCTCACAGTAACAATCATAGACTAACCCACTAAAACTGGAAGCAAGCCTTCAACTAAATGCTTTTTCCTACAAGTTGCCTTGATCATGGTGGTGCTCTACAGCAATAAAACTAAGACACCCAAGTAGTCAAAAGGCTGTGAAACCATCAACAGAAACAGGAACAGAGGAAGACAGGTGGTAGATAATGGAACCTGACTGTAGTTTGGGAGTAAGGAGAAGCCAACCAAGAGAACACAGATTTATCCAAAGTTCAAACATCCCAAAGGAGCAAATAAAAGATACTATCTATAGCCAGTATCGATCAAGAAGGAATACTTACCTCGGTATGAATTCAGTGACACCTGCTGAGCCAGGTCCCAGATTTTGATGCTATAATGAAAAAAAAAAAAAAAAAAAAAAAGGAATTTTGACTTGCACTATCAACATAAAAATGAACTCAAACAGGAACATGTTTAACCAACATGCCCCATATCTGCATATCTGCCTCCTAGACTACTGTTGTCTTACTTATAATGTACTACCAATAAAGAAACAGACATGCCATTACTCACTAAGATAGCCCAAAGCATTACTTAATGAAATTAAGAGGATACTAAGGATACCCACAGGAAGTCTAGGGATGGGAGTAATGAAAACAGGAACCCACCAGAAGTCTTTGCTACCACTGACAGCTTGTGTGCCAGAGCTCAGGACAGTGACAGTAGACACAATGTCATCATGCTCATACTTGCAGAACTTGCTGACAATAAGTGTCTCATTCTCATCTAGTTCCCACAATTCAACAGCACCTGTTGAGGATAGAGTGGGGTGAAGTGTAGGTGAGGGAAGCACAAGCCTGAGTTAGACCAAGGAAGTAATTCATGCCTAGGACTCAAGCAGGCATTGGTGCAGAGCTAACAAAAAGGTGCTCCTGTAAAAGCAAAGACCACATTATGAAAGGGCTTAGCTCATGTCCAGGTCATTTGATGACTATATGAGGAAATCTTCTAAAAAAAAAAAAAAAAAAAAAAGACAGGGAAATCGATATAAAATAAATTGTTTGCTTCCAGAGAGAAGACACTGGGAAACTGGTTCCCAAGACAAAGACAAGACACAGCACAGTTGGGTGATGATATCTCTTCCCAGTGGTTGAGACATGAATAAATATTTGATTAGACTCCTTGAAAAAAATGTCTTGCAACAAACACTTTAATGTTCAAGACTGCCAGAAAGGCTCAATTTCCAATGTCCTAATTCTCAACTTCCAAGCCCTATCTAATTTAAGAATACAGACAGAAAAACAACAGGTGTGGTGCACGCCTTTAATCCCAATGAATGGGAGGCAGAGGCAGGTGGATCTCTGTGAGTTTGCGGCCAGCCTGGTCTGCAGAGTTCTACAAAGAGAAACCCATTCTACAAAGAGAAACCCTATCTCAAAAGATCAAAACTCACACATACACACTTGAGGTATTTTTATTTTAAATGGGTAGGTATTTTGCCTTCATGGCTAATTCACCAAATGCATTTGTGCCCATAAAGGCCAAAAGAGGGCACTGAATTCCCCCAAAACTGGAGTTAGAAATGGTTGCTAGTGGGAATCCAACTTGGGTCCTCTGGAAAAGCAGTCAGCACTTGTAACTGCCAGGTAATCTTTCCAGACCCAAAATACATGTTTCTATCTCACTGAGACAGGGTTCTCTATGTATCCGTGGCTGGCCTAGAACAGGCTGGCCTCCAACTCACAGAGCTCTGTCTGCTTCCACTCAGATAGGCAGCACCCACACCCCGCTCCCACCAACTTCTACATTTTATTTAATATAATTTTTATTTAATATCATTTTAGTATAATGTTTGATTCTTTGAGAATTTCATGTGTACACAATGTAGTTTGATCATATTCACACCTAAAGTGTCCAGGATTCACTCCCCTCACTCTTCTCCCAACTTCATTTTTCTTCTCTTTTTAAGGCCAAAACCTACATTGCTCAGCCTGACACTCAGCTGCCGAGCAAGGTGGCTGGGTTCAATACACAGAACAACCTCAACAGCAAAAGCAAACAGGAGGTCAGGCATGGTGGCACATGTCTTTTATCCCAGCAAAGGAAAGGCAGAAGCAAAGGGGGAGATCTCTGTGAGCTCAAGAACAACCTGGTCTACTTAGTGACTTCTGGAACAGTCGGGCCAACATGACGAAAGCCTGTCTCAGAAAAATAAACAGGAAGACAGGTAGCACCAACTGTCTTCAGCACCACCTCTTATATCAACATTCTCTTTGGTCCAGGCTGGCGGGGGGGGGGGGGTGGGGGGAGCACGGGAAGATTACAATCCATTTCTTCACTTTTTGCGTGAATTAACTGGGCATTGACCACCTGGCAGTTTAACATCTTAGAGGAAAAAAAAAAAAATACTTTTTCCCATCCCAACCTACATCTTCATTCAGTTCCGGGGGAGGGGGTGACTCACCTGAATCAGAAGCCACTAGGATACCTTTGTCCCCCACCCAAGTGAGGTCAGCTACTCCGGCTTCAGTCTGGACGCCCGCAGAGCAGAAGCCTTCGTTGGGGGCCGCACTCGGATCCTTGAAAAACCAGAGCGAGCCGGCCCAGCAGCGACCACTCAGACTGGAAGCCCCGAGCAGAAGCGAACCATCTACAGTTGGCAGAGGGAAGTTACAAGGTGTCAGATGGAAGGCCCGGCTCGTTTCTATGGTAACCGCATAGAACCCAACGCGGGCCGAGTTTGAGATCGGGTTTGTGGGGCAGGGCTGGGCAGCCCCCAGGTAGGGATCGGGAGGGCACGGGGCGGTGGGGGGTGGGCGTGGGCGGGCTCGGCGGGGGTCAGTACCCGGAAAGGGCGCCCGGGGCTAGGGAAGGGGGCTTCCAGGCCCCGGATCTCGGCTCACCAGACCGGTACCGCGCAGCTTCCAACTGCCGTTCCATGCAAGCGGGTGCATTAGGGGGCAGGTTCCACTCGCGGGCCGCCGGCGGCACGAGTGGGGTTGGGGTTTCCTTCCGCATCTCCACGATTCCAAACCCAACCTAGACCCAACCTAAGCGATGCCGACTCGGCGCTGGCGGAGCCCCACACGTGGTGCGCCTCTGCGCCTCCGCCCCTCTGAGGGATACGCTACACTCCTCGCGAGAATTGCGCCTACACCTCCAGCTCGCCTTCCTTCTGCCCTTCCCGCAGCGGGATTTCAGTTTGGGTTGTTGGGTATTTTTTCTTTTTTTTACCCTCTTCTCGCGAGAAATAAAAATTGAGCCGGACAGAAAGTACTCCGCTCTCTTCTCGCGAGATATGTGAGCGGCCATCTTGTTCGTGCCCCTGACAGTCTGGGTGGCGGTCACAGGGGACGCGAAGACCACTGCCTGGACCTTAGCAGGCCATGCTGTCCCGGGTGGTACTTTCTGCCGCCGCCACAGCGGGTGAGAGATGGAGACCCCGGGCTGACCTGTCAGGATACTGGGAAGAAGCAAGCCTGGGGCCCCAGGGAGGCGGAGAGGGTGAAGAAAGGGCAGCGGCGTTTGGGCCCGAGCAGAGGAGTGAGCAGAGCCGCCGAGCAGGGTCTCAGGGACGTCAGGGAGGGATGCATGGGCCGGGGATCGCATCTCACGGAGACCGAGGAAGGTGCAAACGGAATTTCACCTCGACTTTGCTAACCTGCGCCTTGTGTGTTTGCAGCCCCCTGTCTGAAGAACGCGGGCGTCCTGGGGCCAGGGTGAGTGTCACCGCGTTTTATTACTCGGTTTCCTCCTCTTCTCTTTAAGCCAGAAATTACCGCTCTCCTTCATTTTGGCGAGCCAGAATCCTCATTCAGACGCTTGTTCTTCCAATTGTCTTGAACGTTATCATATCCCCCTGTGACAAACACCAAAGAGGGTAACTCACGGTGACCTTCAGCGGCACACAGCTCTGAATCAGTTACTAGATGACACCCAAGAACAGATCTGGTTTGAATACAACAACGTAAAGCATGTTGTTTTGGGTGTCTCCAGATTTCAGTCTTCTGTTACCGTATTGGGAGGCAGAAATCATTCATTAATTGGTAAATGTGTATCTTGACAATCGCATAATGAGAAAGACAGTGACAGTTTACAGGCTCCAAAGGTAGAGCAGGATACACCTGGCCCCTCCACTTAGCTGTGACACCTCACTTAGAGCCACATGTTATGGATTATGAAATATGAGAGACTTAATTCTGGTAAAACACAGAAAACAACGCTTGGTGCACTGTAAGTACTTAGAAGTGTTGGCACTGTTGCAGTTAAAAGGCCATTCTTAGAACGTATCCGGATGTGTGTGAAATGCTTTAACTCCAAACTTAATCATGACGCTTTCAAAGTTGTGGTGACTACAAAATGCTTGAAAAACATGGCCTCTTTTTGGTGTGTCTTATTGTGCAGTAAAGTGAGACTATAATTGACTGCTTTCAACTTACAGAAAAATCACTCCATACAAACACTGAAAAATAGCTGTGCGCTGGAAATGTACCCTTTGTATGATACTTGGCACTGCCAATATAAATTATAGCACAAGTGATAAGTGAATTACACACAGAAGATACACGAAGCAGCCTTTATTTCTTCTCTGTCATCACTCTGCCCTGTCTTACATCAGCAAGGCTCATCATGCTCAAGATTATGCTTTGACTCTGACTACACCCACTGCCATTATTTGGGCATGAGCAGCAGCCAACGGTTTTGAATGAGTAGTTTCAGTAGCCCTTTAGAGTCTTTTCTCAGTGTTGCAGAGAGATTATGACAATCACCTGCTTAGAACCTTCAGAGCTCATATTCCTCTTGAAATAAAATCGAAACTTAGCAAAACCAAGAAAGCTCAGCCCATCTATCTCTTGGTTCTTCCGCATCCTTCCCACAATTAGCTTTGTGTTCCAGTCTTACCAGCATTGCTATTTCTCTAGAAAATGCCACACACTTGCTTGCACACAAGTGTATGTGCACGAATGCTTGCAAAGAAGATGTTAGATGTGAAACTGGAGTTAAATGTGGTTGTGAGCAGTCCAGCATAGGTGCTGGGGACCAGTCCTGGGGAAGAGCAGCAAGCTCTCCTGACTGCTGAACCATCTGTTCAGCCCTAAGTTCATTTTAATTGTCATGTTCATTGTGTGTAGTACTGGCCTTTATAAGGACATTGTATACAAGTATATAATGTATCTTGAGCAAGAATAACCCCCCATGCTCATCTACTATCTTTTTATTCTCCCTCCTCTCATTAGTCCTCTTCATCCTTCTGTGTAATTTTGCTTCTACTTTTATGTTATGTACATGATCTTGTGAATGAATATAAAATCTAATATCCAGAAATGAAAGAAGACATATTTTTATCTTTCTGCAACTGAGCTTGACTAATATGATAATCTCCACTTTCCTGGAGACAGCATAATCTCGTTCTGTATAATTGAATAAAATTACATTGTGCCTATAGCACATTTTCTCTGTTGACAGACACCTAGATTGCTTCCACTAAGCTATTATGAATAGTGCTTTGATAAGTACAAGTATTTCTGTGGTGTGCTTGCTTGAAATCCTTAGCATAAATATACAGGAGTGTTCTAGCCGAGTCACCTGACGTAATTTTTTGAGGGGGGCCTTCTTTGGCTAGACTAATTCACACTTCCACCAGCACTATATAATGCCCCCCTCCCTTTTTTTATGTCCTCACCAGCATTTATTACTTGTCTTGATTTCTGTTCTAACTGGAATTTTTTTTTTTTTGTTTGTGTCTTTCATAGCATATATCTCCATCCCATTCATTTCCTTATCCCTTTGTATCTGCCCTTGCAACTTCCCCGCAAAACAAAATAAAATAAAATTTAAGAGAAAAAAGGAGAAGGAAAAATCCGTCTCATCATGGAAGCTGTAGTGTGATGCAATTAGTCACACAGTAAACCCTTTTGTCCATATACCTTGCAAGTGTTCATTGCAAAGAGTTACTGGTCTATGACTCGAGTATTATCCTTTTTCTTGGCCATTTATTGACTGAGTTGTAGTTCCTATAATTTGGGTTTTTGTTTTGGAGAGGTTGATGATTGGTTTTTATTTTGTAGATCCTAATTCTGTTAGATGTACTTACCAAAGATTTTCTCCCATTCTATAGCTGTCTCTTCGTTCAGTTATTTACTGTGAAGAGCTTTTTAATTTTATAAAGTTTTGTGTCAGTTGTTGGCATTATTTGCTGAGAAATTAGCGCCCAGAAAAAGTTCTTGCCTGTGTTTATGTCTTAAATTTTTTGTCACATTTGGGATAGATTTTTGTACAGGCTAGGAGACGGGGGTCTAGTTTCATTCTTCTACACATGAATATCCAGTTTTCCCAGCATCATTTGTTGAAGTTTGTCTTCATAGAGGGTATGCTTTGAGGTATCTGGAAGACTGGCTGGATTTGGCTATCATTAAATAAAATGCATACATAGCAGAGGCAATGTAAGGTGCTTGTTTTTGAGAGATGTCAATAGTTCATATGAGTAGAGACAAGGCATTAAAGAAACGTGAAGATACAGTTTGCAGGAACTGGTTCATCTGTGCTGTATTGTTTGTTTTCTGTAAACGGAGGAGAGCTTGCTGATGAGTTTTCATCTCGGATTCATGTTTTGGAATCATTGGCAGTAATATGAAAGAAGGAGCTGCATTTAAGGAATATTTGGCAAGAAGAGCCATCAGGTTTGGAGATGTTAAAATAGTTTAAGAAAGAGAAAATAAAGGCTTCAACTGAGATAACCTTGTTAAACTGAAAAGGCTTATTTCACATAATGATGAGCAGGCCATCAAAGGGAATATTCAGAGTCAATGCTCTCAGCAGTATTAGGGTGCTTACAGTGTTGGCATTTAGCTAACTACTCATGTGGAACCCTACTATTGACAAGTTCCATTCTAAGAATGTTACATCAATTAATTCAATCTTTCACAATGGCCCTGTAAAGAAGTATGTTTTATTCCTTACATAAAGAAAAATCTGAGATTACACAGTCTTAGGTTCTAGGTGCTGGTAAGATGACTTCGCGGGTTAAGATACCTGCCACTAAATCATACAGGTATACTTGAGTTCTCTTTCCGCAGACCATCATGGCAGAAGGAGAGAAACAACTCTTGCAAATTGTCTTCTGACCCTCACGTGTGTAGTGGTGTGTATGAGTGCAGACACAACCAAAAGGAAGAGTAAAAAAATTTTAAAAACTTTCAACTTCTCTCATAGCCTAGTGCTTGGTCTAAGATTTTAACTCAGGCCATCTATCTGGCTGTAGCCCTTTCTCTTGTGTTTCATTGCTCCTGGTTGAAATATCAAGTCCTCTGTAAATCATCCGTAGACTTATAAAGATTTCAGTAGAGGGTTTGAGTTCCTATTTCAGGTCTACTTTCTTTCCATTGTGACAGTGGGAACCACCTCAGTGTTTATCCCCATTCATTGCTTTTGTGAATTGCACATTGTGTTTTCTCAGAAAAGTTGGTTTTAAATTTGTATAATGATTTCTTGTAGGGTATTACAGGCAACAAGGGTCTTTCACACAGGACAGCCACGTCTTGCCCCTCTACCACCTCTTCCTGAATATGGAGGAAAAGTACGTCTTGGGCTGATCCCTGAAGAATTTTTCCAGTTCCTTTACCCTAAAACTGGAGTAACAGGTGAGCATTGCCCAGTCTTTAGTAATTTGAGTGATACTGAGTGATACTGAGTCAAGTCAGTTCTTTTTTCAGAAGAAACTTGTATTTGAGATGAATTTTCTTTCGGGATTTTACTTTCTAGCTTTGTTTTCATTTATTAACATACTAATCATGCTAATTTCTTTGATTTACTACCAGGCATTGTATTGTCCTTACAATACAATAACAAACTAAGTGTCTCATATTATGGAGCATGTATTTTATTACAGGATTAAAAATTTCAAATTAGTGTGTGTGTGCGCGTGTGTATACATATATATATATATATAAATATTATACTGTCAGATAATAAAGGGAGCTACGAATAAAAATAAGGCAGAAGAGACTCAGAGGAGTATGCAATGGCACACTTATCTTAACAAGAGGCAAGCGCATCTGAGTTCCAGGTCCACCTGGTCTATAGAATGAGTTCCAGGACAGCCTCCAAAGCTACAGAGAAACCCTGTCTTGTAAAACCAAAAAAGATATAAACTTTTAGAGCCACACTTTTTTAATGTAGTAACTGATTTCACTTTTGTTATTTAATACTTAAACA